ATATGCCCAGAGTGTTTTGCATAAAACTAATTCCTTTTTTTTTCTCTTACTTTAGCGCTTCCCCACAAACCAATTCAAGGTTTATTTTGAATCCACAAACCTTTTAATCTGCCTCTTCCTGGTGAGTGCACAAGATCAAAGGAAGAGCCGACCACGTCTCATCATGCAAGAAATAACATAATATCTATTCCATTACTGGAAAACACTGCAAAGATTATGACAGATGATTACTCATCTATATGCCACCTCAAGCAGAGAATTAACCATTATTTAGTTTTTGCCCACTGGTCACTGTAGCAAATTTCAATTTCAGATTATTTCTATGAGGTGCACCCAAATGAACGAATCAAACGTAGCTCAGCGAAGCTTTAATATGTGGAGTTTTTCTACCCTGGCTAATTTTTGCAGTAATTATAATGCAATGATGGTGGTTAGACATTTGGATTGTATCTGTAGACTAACATTGGTTTGCAAAAGAATTCATTCACTAGAACTTTTTATAGTTTCATAGTCATAACTCAAATTTGTTATGAATTTGGAGGGATTTTCTTTTGTGATAAACCAATATAAAGTAACAATATAAAGTAGCTTTTAATTGTTAACTGGCAGGAAATTTTTTTATATAGTTTTGAAAATTGTTTCCAATAAAATAAAAATCTGAAAAGTGTTCCATGTATTTCCAGTACTCTTTACTTTGACAGTCCTCGATAAAATCCAGTACAACCAAGTGCCATCACAAGTCACATAATTAATAAAGTCCAGCCGTATACTTTACTATTAATATGCATAAACATAAAAAAGCATGGTGGTGGCAGCATCATTATTTCAGCAGACCAGAGTGATTATGAGAGTTTAGAGGTTAAAGGTTGGAGCTAAATACTCATCAAATAAAACCTTTTGAAGCTTGTAAAAGAGTTAATTTATATTCAAACAGCTAAAGCTGCAGAGGAATAGTCTGAATCAATGCATACCCAGGTGTTAGAATTGGCCCAGTATTAGATGCATACTTATAATTTGTCTTAATAATTTTCCTTCCATGTCACAATTATGCACTACTTTGTCTTGGTCCAATACCAAAAATCTCAATAAAGTTCATTGATCTGTGTGTCAAAATGTAACTTGAATGGCTGTGAATATTTTTGCAAGGTATTGTATAATAAGACACTTAAGGTTTATAACCTCCAAACTGTGTCTGGGCTCCAAACACACATTAGGATGCAAACGTGGTTTGAGCACCTTAGCACATAAATGCTCTCAGCACAACCCCAGGGCACATACAGTCTGATTTAAAGCTAACACTTTGGGAGAATTATGGACTCAGTCCTTAGATCTAACATGCAAACATTTCCCATCCTAAAAAAAAGAGAGTTAACTCTGTTTCTATCGTTACTTTTAGAGAGGAGAGAGTCTTTTGAGTGGAGAAGCTTGAAATCTTTCGGGGCTTTATTAAAGACGGAGGGAGTCTGTGCTGCAGAGGGTTTACTTGCCTGGAATTGGGAAATAAAAGGAGCTAAACAATATCTCACTGTTAGGCGTATTCCCTGTGACAGAAAAGGAGCCGAAGACAACCATCAAACTGTAGAGACATTGATGTAAACTTTGCTCTGTAAAGTCTCTAAAAAAAACTCCTGTGTCACTGTTGTTGTGTTTGTGAGGAGGGTGAGGTATTTTAAGGTTGTTTGTCTGCTTGTGTAGAGCTGCAGCGGTGCTCAAACTGTGTGATTACCTTGCTATAGTAAATGTCAGCGCTGAGAATTCCTAGTCTCCAAATGCTCACTGATCCAACCTGTTTATTCTACCTTTTTTTTTTGTCTGTGTGTGTGTGTGTGTGTGTGTGTGTGTTCCAGAGAGTTCTATAACCTCTAAAAAGCTGTGCCTATCAAACATTTTTAACGCCCCTCTCCCCATAATTTACAATATAATTGACTGTTTTTGCCCGTGCATTAGCCTGGGATCACAAGCCCCGGAGGTTCAGACATCTCCTTTTGCTGCACAGATCAAATGGAGCCAACTAACCAACACATTGAACTGCCTCACACAGAAAATTGGGCTGCATAAATATGGATTTTAATGATTGCCCAGTATTTATCTTTCCTTTCCACTCGTCTTTTTGATGTCGCCGTACTTTTGGACAAAAATGATAGTAACGTCTTTATTGCGGTATGACAAGAAAGACACTGCGTGGTAACTCTTTTTCACCAAAAAACAAAAGAATGTGTTGTTTTGCTGGAATCCTGTCTTCAATTAGTTATGCAAATACAGTGTAGGAGTGACCCCATGAAAGAAAAGCAAAAGAAAGAATCTGCAACCAAGGGCTGTGATTGACTTCTCTCATGGACCGGGAACACAGACAAAGACTCAAAAGGGGGTCCAAGTGGGAAAGGACTGAAAAATGTGCCCAGCAAGCTCCTTCAGTATTTTCCAGCCGTCTTTTGTGGCCACAGCCACGTTTCTTGAATTGTCAGTGACTCTTCGGCACCATCTATATACATCAGTCACAGGGGCTGTCTTATTTATTTTGTCTATTGTCCCCCCTCTTTCTCTTTGTTTTTGTCCCTTTTCTTACTGTCAGGTATTTAAGCAGCATGCCTGTTTTATGCAGCCTGTTGAATGGTCTTGATGGACTGGAGACTCAATGGACAGCATGTGACCCATCTGACCAAAGCTCCTTCATGCACCGCCTCTCTTTGTTGTTTTGTTTTTGTTTGTCTGTGAGAGCAGAGGGGGGAAAAGACCACTTCATTGAGAAGGAGGCAACTAACTTGCTTCATTGAGACGTTGGGAAGTTCATTAGGCACAGTCAAACAAGTCATAAATATTATCATTTGACCTTTGCAATCTGAAACTGGAAGGAAGATATTAAGTTTGGCTACAAAGCAAATGAACAATAATCTACTAAGCGCAAATAAACAAAAGGATGTATTGTTCAACCGAGAGAAGATTACAAAAAACTTAAGTAGGCTTGGAATCAGGAACAAGTGTTGATGACTTCTATCATTTACCTCTGAATCAGGGTGTGGGAATGACTTCATACCATGTTTTAGTTTCAAGATGCAAAATGTGTGAACTTTAAAGCTGATGCCCTTCTTCATCAGGTTAATGCTAAGGTAATTAGACCTGCAGTTCTGACCTTCTTGTCTGAAACACAGGAGTTATACTGGGATGTTTTGACTCTTCCAGTTTGTACAAACGAATTAAGCTCAATGCTTTCCTAAGAGAGTCCACCAAGCCTTGGTGTCCTGCCTGTAGGCTGTGAACATCCCCTCCTCACTCTCAGTGTGTTGATTATCTTGTCACTTGGTTTGACAGCAGCTTTTTGCACCTCAGTGTTAGTAGAACCAAATAGCAATGGGATTAAAAAAAGTTGGTACCAAAGGGTTTATAGACTAATAATTACAAGACTGTAAGGTTGAGTATGTTGGTGATTTTATATACCTATTGTACAACATACTGTCCTTGCAGTTCTTTAGTATGCAGCGGACCCTACCTATTTGCGATTCAGTACTTGCAGATTTATCTCTGGAATACAATTCCAAATTATTTGTGGATTTCTTCAAAGCATTTTCAGAATATAGCTATGAAAATCTGGAATATATAATCCTACTTGACATGCTACTGACTGGTGCTTGCAAAACAACCAATTTGAGAACATTATTTCCCTTGATGCTTATTGGCTCTACCCCCAAGAGAGGAAATAAAGACTACCTTTTAGAGTAGTGCTAAGATGGTTCCCACTGTGCTTATTAATGCATACTAAGGTATATTTGATGTTTAGACTGTTAAAACAGGCAGTTTTAGGTGTTTTAAAGAGGGTCTTAAGTATTTCCAGATTGAACTATTCACAGGCTGCTGTGGTTCCGAATCCCCATGAATACGAGGGGTGCACTGTAACATTGCAGTGTGATGATGTAAAACAAACTCAAAAAGGTTATCAATCAGGCCACGAACTGGTTCAAACCAGAATTCAGTACAGCTATTATATAACTTTGGCAACAGCAGAAGACTTAAACTAAAACCAGCAATAAACAACTAGTATAAGAAATCTGTTCTTCCTGTCCTGCAAATATTTAACATGGGTAAGCAACGACTTGTTTTCTTTTTACACACCTCGACAAACTAATCCGTAAGGCCAGTGATGTGGAGCTTGACTCTCTGATGGCAGTGTCGACAGAGGAGCTCAAAGCTGCAAGCAGTTTTGGGTAATGTCTCCCACCCACTCCACAACACAGGAGTACATGTAGCAGAAAACTAATTAAAATAATAATAATAATAATAATAATAATAATAATAATAATAATTTTTTAATGCTTTTATAATCAACGTAGAAGAATTTCCCCCCCTGATGATCAATAAACTATTCTTAATCTGATTAAAAAATGTTGCTTTGAGAGTTTTACATGACTGGCAGCCATATTGGATTTTGAGGTCTGGGTTAGTAAGAAAGGATCCAACGGTTCCAGCTGGAATTCTTACCTACGGGTTAATATTATGTTAATTTTCACAACTTAGATCTAAGAAACTTTACATGAAAAAAAAAGTACAACAGCAAATAAATAATCATTTAAAACACACACACACACACACACAAAATACTGAAAAGGTTTAATACACTTTTTATGATGTCACAGTAAGGTGATGAAGTATAAAAGTCACTCTTAGTGAGAGAGTAAAATCAGTGCTTCTGGACCAGACTGACTGCTAAAGAAAAGTCTCTGGTTTGGATGGGATTCACAGAGCAGATCAGTAGAGAAAAACAAAGTATCTACAAAAAGTGTACAATAAATTGTTTCTGTCTTCTTTCATGCTCCAGTGCACATGTAGACTCAGTGAAGAACAACTTATCTACAAACAGGAAAAGTTTAATAAACTTTAGCCACTGTTTTAAAGAACAAGAAAGTTTTTTTTTACTTTAGCAGAACAAGACAGTTGACTTGACTTCGAGTGCATCTATTTGTTTGCCATTTAAGGGAAACCACGGCCTAGTATTTTGTTTGTTTTTCATTAAATCTGCAAAGGCAATGCATCATGGGTGTTTAAGGAATAAAAAGAACGCTACCCCCAGAAGCTCAGCCTTTTTTCCTAAATTTGCGTGACCTGGGCAGGATGAAGCTTTTGCTGAGTTTCCCCACACAAAGGCCTCTGGGAATTCACAGCCACAGTGCCACAATTGAGTCCCCAACACCCACCCCTCAAAATCTTGAGGTCCCCCTACAATTCTGCACTACTTCCTGTAATCATCCCCATATGTGGTGGTGGCATTTGGTCTCCTCCACCATGGCACACGTCATTAGGCTGAGCTTTAAGCAGGTCTACCTTGCTCCAGGCCATAGGGGAAACTTTCTTGATGCAGGTGGGGGGTAGATGAGTTGGTTGAGGTTGGGGGGTGGGTTAATGAAGCACCGGCTGAATCATACCACCTAGAGAGGTTTTGACTTGCTGAGGCAGCAGCAGCCTACACATTGGCCAGCAGCAGGTCTTGTCCAGCGCTGATGCTGAGCTCACGTGACGAGAGTGTCTGTAGGAGGGTTGGATGGCAAAGGTCGAGCCAGTGAAAGGTGTAAATCCCAGAAGGGGACCGGCCTAAAGGTCAGTCAGTCATGGCGATTAGTGGAGCCATCGACAAGATGCAAGAGAGTCGGGGGTGGCACAGAAAGCCTCCCACTGTCTTCTGCATTCGAGAACAGACACCATTGTTTAAAAAAAAAAAGCCACCTTAATGACATGTGTGATTTATATTTCAGGACAATAGGTGGAACTTCCTCAAAGAGAAAGAAACACTTAAGCAACCATATGAATAACATGCACCGTCTGTGCTGTTGTTGACTGAATGTTGTAAGTTTGTGCACGTCCGCTCTGATGGTTGTTGTTTCTTCAAATGTGTGTCCTGTTATCAGACAGCCCTCTGCAGAAATGAAAGAAAAGGTGGAATTTCTCAGAAAGATGTGACAGTTTAATTGCGCATGACTCAATAAATACACAAATATGAAGTCTCTCTAAAAAGATTGGTAATGTTGTTGCCCCTATTACAATTTCCAAAAGGCAAATGTGACAATTTATAATGAAAGAAATTCAAAATGTTTTTTTTTTTCTTTCATAAAACATACCAAAACAATGGTTACTTTGGAGGTGACTCTGGCTTAGTGGGGACTGTTGTCATCTTGCAATTTCCTTTCATTTGAAACAAAAAATCAGAGATATGAATCAGGCTTCTTTGGCAACTACATGTAGTTAGTGTTACATAGAACACTATGTAACACACTGAACCCCAAATTGCCTACCAGTCTGCATGTCAGTGCAATTTGTGCGCATGTGTAATTGTAGCTGGGTAAATCTTGCTGTACTGTAGAGGTACAGCAAGATTTACCGTACTGGATTAGCTAGTGATCAGTCAAGACAATTACTGATCACAGCTGTATTTGGAGAGTTCTAGACTTTGCTTCTCAATGTACTTTACAAGACATGCAGGTGGAACTCATATGCAGTCATAGAAAACACGATTCAGTCTAGCTTATGTTCAAATTACATTATTTAATTCCAGGAAAGTGCCACCATAGACACAGATTTAGATCAGTTTACCTTCAGTCCATTTCAATATACAATAAGATTCAGGCTTTCTATCAAACAGGTTAACCTTGTTTTACAGTTTGCTGATTCTACTCATCTATCACAGAGCTTTAAAGAAAAATACTTATATGTTGCTGAAGCACTGTTATTCAATCTCTTCATAAATAAGGTTAAAGATGCATCAATACGTTCCAAAAAAATTTCAAAAAGAAAAAGAAATATTACTAGACTTTCAACAGACAGAATTTTATTGAATACACTAAATATAAAATGAAAGGAATGCACATGAATACAGAAATGTGCTTGTATTAACAAGCTAATCTAAGCCATCAACTAGTGCATGTAAATTTGCATTTTGTGGACATTATTTAAATTTATTTGGATCATAAAAATGTGACTGTTTTGCATTAGTGGAGATCTTTCTCAGGATTTTCCCAGACATCCATCAGCAAAATGGATTTTTTATTTGTAATGGCTATTTCAGTCATTTTTGTGAATGACTCAGAATCACAATATTTATGCAAAGTTCACATTTTTGATCAGTTTTAATAAGTAAGTAAGTTTTTGTGATGTCTGAGCCATTACTTAGAAAATACTTAAATTAACTCAGTTTTCAAATGATTTTACTCTTTTAAAAGATTTCTGGAAATTTTATTCGCACCATGTGCAATACCTGCTGCAGCCCAAATTCTTAAAAGTTATTTAGCTGAGTTAGGTCTTCACTTTTGTCACCTCAGCATCTGTAAGATCTCGTGCTTCATTTTATACCCACCCTGTGACCTCATTCACCCCTCAACAAGTTAACTATTTCCCCCTCTCACCCTGGGTCCAAAGTAAGAGAAGACTAGTGGTGCGCCACTTAAAACGAGCCGGCCGAAATGGAGGCGTAGCCATCACCTCCCCACATTCACAAATGCCCCCTTAAATGGGGAGAAGTCAAAGACAGGAATTCTAATCACTTGCCTTCCCCTCCTTTTTGTTGAGGGAGATAAATAAGGAATAGAACACAATTTGAACCGAGTCCAAAGGCAGGGGAGGCACTGAGAGTATTGTTGGATGATCTCCACTTAGCGGAGGCAGGGGCTGAAAAGGCTGCTGTCTTGTTAGTTGGTGTGTAATGAACAACTTTCACAAGCCAGTTGGTCAATGGGAATCACAGTGTTCCATTTCTGTGCTCTTACAAATTCACATTAAAATTGGCTGGCACACTGTGGGCCTGGCTTTAAGCAAATAATAACTGAAAGAATGAATGAATGCTAATATCTTCATAAACAATTCACTGGTGGTGAGTTTGTGTCGTGTTGGTCACCAGAGAGTTGAGTCTTATCTTTCATGTAGCTGGTTAAAACAGAGCAAGTGGGGGCGTACAGCGGCTGAAAAGGACCGCCTCTGTTTTGTAATCGCTCTCTCTCTATCTTTTCGTATGACCAGACCTTTCATTCCATCCTTTTCACCACAAAAGAAAACGAAGAAAAAAAAAAAGTTTGTCAGTTCTCTGTTCCTTTTGTTGTGTGCTTTCTTCTCTGTGCTCTTTCTACTTTTATCCTAATCCCAGCCATGCATGAGCGATCAGTTGTGTCCTGTTGTTTCACTGTTCTGCTGGTTCTCAATCAGTAGGGTTCCTGCTTTGTTCCTTTTTTTTTTTTTTTTTGCCAAACACAGAAAAGGTAAAGGGAAGAACGAGTAATGAAATCTAGGCCTTTGTATGCCTCATCGGGATTTTTAGATATAGCACTGACTGTAATTAAGTCAGATTGTTGTGATGTTGATCTCTGCTGCTCTCACCATTGGTCTTTGGAGAGTTAAAGAAAGCCAGCATCAAAGCTTATATCTTGAGTCCAGCAATCAAAGATTCTACCTTGTTTTGATGTTTGAATTTAATAAATAAGGTTGATAAATATCAGAACTTGTGGAAAACCACTTCCTCACACCCTGACATGCCCGTTTTCATCTACAGAGAGGAACGAGCATCTTGAAATCTATCTGAAATCAAAGACAGAGAAGTCATTCTTAATAACACAAACTCTAAATATTCTTTTTGTATGAAGTATGTTGCAGGCATTTGGTGATTAATTCCTTAATATATTTTTTGCTATTCCACCTTTAGCTTTTTCAGCAGATGCATTCTATGACTTCTGACGTTACTAAAGTATGGAGGGGGTTTAAAACTTACATTAAGATAGCTGCAACTACTTTAAATCGTAAGCAGTGAGGTGTCCTTTAGAATAGAATAGAATAGAAATATTATTTATTCTCCCACAGTGGGAAAATTCAGGTGTACAAACAACAAACTAAAGATAAGTGGAAACGTGTATTCACACAAAGGTAAAGAATATAAAACAAGAATAAGAGACTGTATGATAAGGGTAAATTTACAATATAAAACAATCATAGTAAACACACATTAGAAGACATGCAACTCAGTAGAGCTACTTAAAGAGTTGCTTAAAGATTTGCATTTATCTTTGTGCAAGACAAACAAAAACCGTTTTACAAGAAGTGAAAAAAAAATGCAAACAACAGCAATGTCCAAATAACAGCAGGTATGTAAACACTTATTGAGTTTGTTGAAAGCAGTGATGAGAGGAAGGATCTGCGGTGATGCTCCTTTGTGCACCTAAGATGCAGCAGTCTGCACTGAAGGAACTCTCTGCATAGGGCAGGGGTGGGAAATCCCAGCCGGTGTCCTGCAACTCTTAGATGTGTCCCTGGTCCAACACACTTCAATCAAGTAGCTGAATCACCTCTAAGTGCAGTCAAGTTCTCCAGAGTCCTGCTAATGACCTCATTGTTTGACCCAGGTGTGTTGAAGTAGACACATCTTAAAGTAGCAGGACACCAGCCCTCGATGCCTGGAGCTGCCCACCTCTAGTATAGGGTCTCCGACATTGTCCAACAGTGAAATTTTAGTTAAAGTTCTTGTCTCCCTCCACCTGTGCTGGGCCGAGGGGGCCTTCCTGGTGAGCTTATCTTATTTTGAGCTAACTTGTTTATAGTTTCACCACAGTTTTCTTTCCGTTTTTTCCTTTGGAGCAGTCACATACTTATATGTCGCTGCAAATATGTCTGCAATGATTCCTAGTTGCACTGTTTGCAGCTACACTATGATACAAAAGTAAAGAGTCTTATGCCTTTAGCAGGTGTGGAAAACATGCACCAAAGTGAGACGAGATTATTCCGTCAATTAGATTAATTTCTCCCCATTACAATTCAGCAGCAAAGAAATCAAGATGATTGTAGCATCTAATGTAAACGGAACCACTGAAGAACCTGCATATCTGATCTTTTACTTTGTCAATAACAAGCCGATGGGGAAAAAAATCCAAAAGTTTACTTTATGCTTGGACTACAACCCAACACAAGAAAAGAAACTCTGCCTGCTGGAAAGAGTTAATAGCACCTCTGGGAGCTGGTCACTTTAGAGTTTAATGGATTCACCAATACATTAAACCCTTTTCTCAATCCTGACCATTTTATCCATCTTTAAATATTTTCTCCACCATTAAAAGAACTTATGAGCAACTAATCAAAATATAGAAAATACCAGCTCAATTTCAAATTAAATTATATTTGTATCTTTGTTCTGTGTCTGTAGCAGTGAAGTTACAGTGGAGTTGAGTTGCTAAATATGCTAGTATCCATTCAGGATTCTATTTCATCAACCTGTGGAAGGTGAAGGTCCAGCTATGATTACAGAGTCTCTTTTATTAAAGGATCAAGGCTTATATACCTGCATATTCTAATCCCTAATCTCTTTTCCAGACACACTTGGTTTATGTGTAAGAATGCTGGTCCAAAAATTTCATGCATAAGTGACAAAAGCATACATTTTTAAATATTTAGCTTCATCAAAAATAATGTTGAAGGCTTACTAAGTTTGCCCTACTTTCAGCTTCTTTCAGTGCTTTATATAAATATATTCATATACACACTTTACTTTTATAAAATCCTGGTGTACTTTTCATAAAGTCTCTAGTCAAGTAATAAACTTGGTGTGAACATGTGAGCTCTTTGAATCCATTAGTTATTAATTATATATCAATCCACATTTTCCATATTAGTGAACAAATTCTACCTGTCCCACCTTTAACAACACATCAAAACATTTATAGATGGAAATTCAGGATGCTTAAAGGTATCTGAAAAAAAATTATAATTACACCCTACGGAGAAATAAAATCCAATTTTCTCTCCCCGACCTGCAAATTTACAGACTTATTTACTGACTGCCTTTTCAGATTTTATTTTAAATGTTTTTACTCATTTACACAATTAAATTCTGTAATTATTTCTAATCAACTTTGTGTTTTTTTTTTTAGCTAATTTGAGCTAATCCCTTTAACCTAATCATTTGCATTGCATTTTTGCAGGAACTGCAAATATTCTAGCTTCCTTTAAGTTCTGAGGTGCTCAGTTTCTGATGCCCGTTTCAAAAATAGACGTGTAACATGGAGTGCCACATCACCATGCAGTGCAGGAGGAATTACAGACCTTTAGAACATTTTGTTGTAGGGACTACTGCTGATTGCTGTTGCTGAGGTGATTGTTATTAGCATGATCACAGCAATATATCCTCCATATGGCCTCAGTGGGGACAGAGGCCGAAGCCCGTTCAAAGGGACAGTCATTGTTACAGGCTGATCTCTAATCTCTGTGGTTGTCTGCCCTAATTAAAAGTCTCGTGGTGGTGTTGGGTGCCTGGGCCTCTTCACTGCAGGAAATTATGATCGCAAACGTCTTCCTATCGAGTCCTGCGCTTGGCACTACAAAGTGACGCGGGCCGCCATTACCTGAATGGGCTGGAATCAGAGCAGACAGCCGCATCATCCCGGCTCTTAGTCTATCAGGGCCGTGCACAAGTGGCCATTGTTGACGCCAAAAAGGGGATTAAGGAGGGTCTTCAAGGGAATTGATTTTCATGTGAGAACAATGGAGGGGCGCAGAACACTGGGGCCTGGGACTGAATCACACAGCCAAAGAGTTTTATAAAAAAAAAATAAAAAAAAAGAAGGGGTGCGCCGTGAGCACTGAGATTAAAGCAATCAGGCTCTTTACCCCCACTCTTTCTGGATAGCCCTCCTCCCCTCTCCCTCCCTCTTTATGCCCTCATCCGCCCTGCACAGTAATTTTAACACAAATAATGACTATGAACAAAAGCCCATGAAGAATATTAACAAAACAAAGAAACAAAATTTGCTTTTAACCAAATTTTCCTGTTTGCTTTTACCCAACTAAGGACCAGGAGCAACTCCCTGGGTTGAAGTTTGTGCAGAATATATGAGCAGATTCTGGACACTTTGTCCAGTGCAACTAAGAGCCTGGCCAAAGGCTCATCTGTGTATGAGGAGAGGCGACATGATTCTTTGGCGGGGAACAGAGTTGGGGGGAACATGACGCGTCAATGAGAGGGGATCAGGGGTTACGGATGAAAGAGATGGCCGCCTTGTCCTCTGTCTTTGGCTGACTGCATGCAGCTGTGAGCGCCATTGTGGACATGCTCATTTGCATACGTTTGGCAGGAGCACCAGGAGGCAGAACAGGCCAAGAGGAGTGGCCCCCCGTTTAAAATGGAGGCAAAAGGGCAGGCAAGTAAACACCCAGTGCTTGCAGATACATACCCATGCATTATCTCGACTACAGTACACACAATGGCAGTGGCCAAAGGAGGAAAAATAGGCCTGTTAGTCCAAAATCAACATGTAAATGCAAACAGGAGTCAGAACGTGTGCGAGTTGTGTTTCGGTGGATGATGAGGCCATGACACCCTGATGTCATAATGACAGACATCACGACTGACAACTGAAGGAGTGTGCTGTGTGGGGCTCTTGGCCAGCGGCAGAGGGGTGTGTCCCGCCCTGACTAGAGACAGGTTTATTGGGTCTGATGAGCGCTAAGCTCCTGTGCCTAACCACAATGGAGCCTGTGATCTCCCTTTGTGGCTCATTGGGAAGCACTGGTGCGCTCTGCAGCCCCCGCTCTGTCATTAGACAGATTGTGAACAGGCTGCACAAGGCCCAGCCAGAGATGACGGAGCCACCAGCCACTTCATTAGGGGCATTATGAAGAGAACTGAAGCTTTCTTCTGCCCGCCTGTGTCCAGAATTCACAGGTCTGTTTAATCACATAATTCTCCTCAAGTGCCCCGAGGAGGCTGCAGCACAGCAAGGGCCCTTTAGACCCATGACAACTTGGAGAGATTAATTATATTCATCTTTTGGAATATCTGCAGAATAAGAGGGAGTTTGATATTGGCTCATTTTTATTTTTTTTTCTCACGTCTTTTTCCAACTAGGTCTTTGATGTCCTCCTGTTATTGTTGGGGGACGTCTGTGCAACCCTCTGCTGCCGGAGCTTTGATATGCTCCGGCAAGGGTTAGGGGTGAGCGTCCAAAGGTCTAGGGCCAGGACGTCCTAACTTCTGTCTTGGAGAGGAATGACCCCTGGACCTGAGGGTTGGTCAGAGAGCCTCCAAATTCCGCCTCCCTTTGATGCACGTCTCTTTCACAGCAGTTAATTAGCCAGGGTGGCTAAACGTTTAGCCTGGGTGTGAAAGAGTCTGGGATGAGCATGTGTGTCCAAGACATTGCCTGCTTTTTTTGTGTGTCACAAGGTCTTTTGAAACAATGTGGTACTTGGACAACTTGTTTGCATAGCATGGTGGCTGAATGCAGCGGCCTATTCATGAGAAGTCTTTCAGAAAGAAGAGTTTTCCGAAGGCCTTTCTGGCACTGAAGGGAAGTCCTTGACATTTCACTCATTTCATCTAATCAACTACACAATTTCGCTCTTTTTCTCAGTCTTTGTTTGTTACAGGAGTCTGCGCTAAGGAGGAGGGAAATCGAATACCCTCTTATCTCTTAAGCGGCAGTTACTGCAGTCAGTAAAAATGTTCAAGTCACTGAATCATATCTTTCCTTCATCTTCGCTGTCTTTTGGAGCATTAATATGAATTTCTCAGGAAATAGCTTTCATCAGGAGGAGCCAGAGTTTCATGCAGGATCCAATTTTTCTCTTCTTTCTTTTCTTATAAGGAGTCGTGAGCCAGATTGGTAGCCTCAGCTGTAACATGCTGGATTCATCACTGCTTATATATCAAGTCTTTCCTGCTGCACGTAAGGAATAATAATTTCTCAGTGTGACGGTTTGAAAGAGCAAAGAGAGCCTGTTTGTTCAATTCTGGAGAGGCAGTGAAACTCCCCTTTACTCTCTGGCCTTCAGCGCCGGGGCCTAAATAACAAGGTGTTGCAACTGAACAGCAATTGGGTTGAATTTAGACCAGACTCTACTTTCAATAAATATGCCCGCTCTTTTCACAGCAGCACAGGTCAACACAGTTAGCTGTAAGATGCTCCTCAATCTATAAGGCAACCTTCAATCATTTGCAAATCGAGCAACATCAAATAATATTTCATCTCAGGTAGCCGGTGGCTCAGATAGAGCAAGCAGGGAGCCAGGTTTAGTCTGGTTGACATTGCAAACATATTGATCTTCTATTGAACGCGCTGCCAGTCCAGACAGTTTCCAACCCCAGGGACCCGAGAACCAAATTATTCTCTCATTTTTGGCTAACTTCTTTCTTTACAAAACTGTATAAGCTTTTTGGAAAGACAAAGTTTAAAGTAAAATACTAACTCCAATCCTGTGCATCTCTTTATTTCCGTTCTGTTATCTTGTCAGCTTTGCAGCCATCTCACCGCAGTGCCTTATAGGGATTCAGATGCATCAGTTGCCATTGCAAACTATGATCTCAAAGACATGTTCCAAAACAAGGCCCTTTTGTCTTAACAGGCATGAGAGGATTTTAGGAGATTTACACCCTGCTTGTGATTTAAACATCAAGGCTTAACCTATTTCTTTATGAATAAGCAGTTGCAGGGGAGTTGCAGCTCTCCCTGGATAACTTGATGATTCATTCATTTGTGGATACATGCAAAGGAATCGCTTTAAAGCCTTTGTTACTTGAATATGTATCTCATGAGTATAGCGTGTTTCTTGTTTAAGATAATGTATTTTGGCCAGTGTAAACGGGAAGAGGAATCTGTAATCTCAGTGTCATCACATCTGCTGTTTTAAAAGGGACATTTTCCAAGTTGTTAATTACACATTTGCAAAAGGAACAAAGCATTCCTATTCCCCATTGAATCATAAGCTAAGCTAAACAGCATCATTTATCCAGTATGTTGAATTTGTTTGGAAGCTACTGTAAGCTACTGTTATTCTGCTTTTCAACTGCCATCAAGTTGATGTCTGTAAAGTAGGGATGATATTTTCTTGACTTGCTCCTTACAACATTTTGTATCGCTCTGAATGGAGTCAAGAATGAGGATCCAACGCTTGCTCTCCAAACAATTTTGAAGACTCTACATCGTGTGTTATCCAATGATTGCCGCAGCATCCGGTACCTCTTCACATGCTTTTCTGTTTGCAGATTGCGTGCCGTTTGCTTTGTAGTCAGGACAGGTTTCGGGAGCCCTCTTCTGCTCGGCCACCTGCCGCTGTGGATCGATCAGCTCTCCGGCACCTCAACCCAACGCCCCCACAATGCAGCACCCACCTCCAGAAACCCACTCTGTCCTTGGCTACATCACGCAGACCAACAGGGGGCTGGCTTTTTCTTCTTTTTTCTTTGCTGAGAGACGTGGGGCACATCCATACGATGTCAAGGCTGCAGAAAAGATAGTGTTAGCTGCCTGAGCTCACATCTGTTTGGCCACATGCAACAAATAACTAAAAATGGCAGGTGTGTGTGTGCATATCAGAGATATATAAGATGATAGCATTTCAACTTTTTACACATTTTGTTACAACACAATTATAAAATGTGTATTTTCTTGATCTTTATTAGATGGTCTAACATCTGGAGAGGCAGCAAATAACGCACACAGTAGTGCAATATTTTTTAAATCAAAAAAGGATGCATGGCATGTTTTCTTATCAAAATATAGAAACTGTGAAATAGATTTGTTTCAGTTTTCTGTTCTCTAATATGCATAAATAAAATCCAGCACCATCAAGGTGTCTTAAAAATGTATTCATTGTAATCCAGTAGTCAGAAATGTCCTTACTGTTTCAATCATGATGGTTCTGTATAACATAAAACCTCCAACATGTTTTTTTTTTCTCAGAGAACATCAGTTAAAAACAGCACCATGAAGAACAAGGAGCATAACAAACTTATTAGGTTTAAAGCAGAAATAGATTTTAAAAAAAGTGACAATTTTTGACACAACTGAAAACCTACAAAACACATGAAAGGCCAGACAAGAATATCATCTATCAGAGAACCTGCTAAGAGCCTCATGGTCACCCTGGAGGAGCTGCAGAGATCCACGGCTTAGTAGTAAAGATGTGCCACAGGGCCAGCCTGAGGTATAGGTGAACTTTATGACTGCCTGGGGCCCTCGCTTGTCCAGGGCCCCCAAGAGGAATTGAATTAACACAGGACAAGCTGACAAATACCCCAGTTGTAAACTTAAATGTAGAATGAAAGGGAGAAAAAGGATCAACTACAGACAAAATAAACAGGAGGTCAGCGGTGCTGTAGTGGATGGAGGGATTAACTAGAGGTGGGCCCAGAAGAAAACTCTGCTTAAGGTCTGTCACCACTCTGATCCTGCTACATTATGTCAACAGAACAAATACTTGTCATGATCTTCAAAAATTTGGCCTTTATAGAAAAGTAGCAAGAAGTAAAGATTTGTCAAAATAAAGCCATCAGAATTCATGTTTGCAGTTTGCCACAAATCCTTTATGGCACACAGCAAACATGTGCACATATAAGACCAGAACGTTAATTTTTAGCTAAGTACATACAAAATCTTTATTGTGGTAGAAAACTGGGAAACAGTGCTGTCCTGAATGCAACATCTCCACTATGAAACATGGTGGTGGGAGCATCATGCTGCAGGATTGTTTTCCTTCAGCAGTGACAGAGAAGATGGAGAAATTTAATGAGAAAACCTAGAAGAAGCTGCAAAAGAGTTAAGACTGGGATGGAGGTTTATCTCATGCTTTTCAAACCGCATGTTCTTTTCCTTCGGCTTCACAGTTATGTATAACTTTGTGTTGCACTATCTCACAAAATCCCTGTAATAGACACTGAAATTAAAGTTAAAGAAAACACTGTATTTTGAAGAAGTTTGGCAAGTTTTCTGTAGTAAAAATAATTCAGCTGTTTCTTTGTTTTACCTTTACTAAAAGAAATGCTGTCAGTATTTTATATCCCCATAATAAATTAGGGGGAAATGCTGCAATAGAGAATTATATTTTCTATACATACAGAACATTTGAACTTTAAGTGTATTAATTATGCACTGGTCGAGACTGGAGCGTCTAAAGGAAACATTTAGAAAAAGGTCACTAGCATATGTACAGGGTAAAGATATGCTTGCATTTAATTAAGACCAGGATAGTTAAACACATGCTGAGACACTAATGAATACCAGCCTAAAAGAAGCACAGGTTAAACTGCTACACTGCAGCCAAGAAGGGTGCTTTTCCTACTCAACTTTTTATGAAAGAAAATCCTTCCACTTGTCAGCCTCATAGTGGATCATTGGTTTTGACAAAAACAAACCGGGATTGGAGGAGGAGTGGAAGTTGTGCCAGACCCTTACAAGGGACTCCCTGCTGCATATCCAGAAGAGAGAAGTTTTCTATTATCAAGGACTCTCCCTTAATGATGAAAGTAAACAACATGAACAGGAGTGTTTAATATTTCATAGGCCACCCACAGGTGTGGAGATGTGCAGGGAATACATACATCTATATGGCAAAGCGAGGCTGATTAAGATGGAGGCCACTGTCCCAGCTGCGGTGTGCCGGGTCTCCTGTGAACATGTGTGTATGTGTATAAAGTCTTGGACATATTTGCTGCCTCAGTCTTTTTATTTTCCTCCTCACCCACCCTCTCTCTTTCACCCTCTCTCTGTGGTGATATATGGAACATATGGGAAATTATTGTGGGGTTATAAAGGGCTGCTGACTTCAACAGACATGCAATAAATTACACTGTTTGTGTAGGGGTGGAAAAACACAAGCTCTTTAGGAACACTTAGTGCAGATTTCCTGTACACACTCAACTCTCCCTCTTTCTGTCTTCCTCCTCCCCCTCGTCTTTTTTTTTTCCTCTAACACCTCCTCTTACCCTTTAGCCAGTTCCCTCAGTCTCTCTCTGACTTCCTCTCACCATTGTAACACAGACCACAGCACAATCTCATTCTGTTCTCCTAGTTGGTGGTAACACAGTGGGATATATCCACACAATTACTCACATAAAACTCGTAAAGCCTGGAAAATATTTTAATAGTTTCCGCACCCCCTCAGTGGCTACGAGCTGCATGTGCAGAGCTTGGTGAGCACCACCAACATTATTGGTGCAATTAAATGTGAAACACAAGAGAGGAACATGGGGGAGTGGGAGCACAAAATGGCTGTAAACAAGGAAAATGACACTTGACAAGTTGTAATTTATGGACGTCGTTTCAAAGGCAAGAGACTCACCGTTCCGACACAGGCAGAGCTGCAAGAGTGAGGCACAAGGAAGCAGGCATTAGAGGAGCTATTCACAGAATGTTAGCGCATCAAAGCTACACAGACACAAAAAAAGGGAAAAGAGAAAGCTGTGACTTCAAAGTGGAAGCATGATGAGCAACACAGAGAGAAACCAAGAGAGAGACAGGAAGTGTGTGTATGTGTGTGTGTGTCATGAGAGAGAGGATGATGGTATCCAAAGCAAGCTCTGAATGGGGAACTGAGGTAAAGGGGGGTTTGAGAAGGCCCCTGGATACAGATGAGCACTCCTCGTCTCAAAGAACCCAAAATCAAACTTATACACAAATTTATGCACACGTACACACACACACACACACTGTCTGTCTGGGGAAGGCACACCACTAAACAGAATAAAGTAAAAGTTGAGCTCACACACCCCAGGCCTATCTGGAAACAAATCAGCGTCACCATTTACGTGTTTACTCTCTTCAGAGAATAAGGACAAAACTGCACCAATAACATTCAGCAAAACTAAATAAATAAAACTACATAAATGGAGGGTGTTCTCATCCAAGCAAAATAAGAACCTCAAGTTTATTCTAAGGCCAGATGAGTGATTTCATTTTTTTTTTTTCTTTGACCAAAAGTGTAATGCTCTTCTAATGAACATAATCTCCTATTGAAATATGAGCAGATAAGTGTTTTTTTTTTTTTAATTAAGATTTTACACCAAAATACTAAATTTTAACAATATCGGCATTAATACAGTGTCTTTTTGACAATGTAATAGTAAAATGTTAATGCCTCCAGGTTTATGTAATGAACAAACAGAGATCTACTAATATTTATTGGGCTTGACCTTATGGGCTGTTGTGTTAATTACACATTCAGTTTTTGCTTGGACAAAGTTAGAGCTGAACATGCATGCTCAGTATTTTTCCAGTGTCCTGTACTGATAACATGGTAACAGAGATTAGTTTCTTTCTTTGGGGAGTTTTGGATCCTAAAACCGGATCTAATAAACAGTAAACATCCATCTTTGGAGCTTAGTCTTTAAAAAAAACAAGCATGTTAGTCATTCAATTACTTTTAATGGCATTTTTAAGTGGCTGTCTGGTATTAAACTAAAAAACCTTGGTGTTATTTTTGACCAGGATATCTCAATAAAATGCCATTTTAAACAGGTGTCTCGGTTCTCCTCATTTCACCTATGAAGTATTGCAAAAGGAGTCACACTAAGAAACTAGTTCATGCATTTTTTTTTTACTTCAAAGCAGGACTACTGTGAGTTCTTGCACTCAGCAAGTCCTAAAAATGCAGTTATGCCTTCAGCTTATCCAGAACGCTGCAGCGAGAGTTCTGGTGAAAATTAAAATTAATAATCAAGCTTCATCATATATTAGAGATCTGATTGCTCTATATGTTTCCAACAGAGCACTTCGCTCTCAGACTGCAGGTTTACTGGCGGTTCCTACAGTTTCTAAAAGTAGAGTGGGAGGCAGATCCTTTAGTTATTGGGCTCCTCTCCTGTGGAGACAGATCGCAGTTTATTTTTTCTAACTGGTTCAGAGCTTTTCTGCCTCTCTGTCCTCCATACATGAAGCCAATAAAAGGGCACTACAGCCATTAATTATCTACTTTTTCTTTAGCATAGAAAATATTCCTAGATGAGTGTTTTTGTGTTTCGCTTGTTTGCAAGCTCTGTCTTCTAAATCCTCAGCCAGTGGCAGATGGCTACCTACACTGAGCCAAGTTCTGGTTCTGCTGGAGTTTTCTACCTGTGAATGGGGAGGTTTTCTTACAGCTTTCGCTACATATATGCTTAGGATTGCTGCAAAGTCAACAACTCAGTGCAAACTGTGTCCACATGCTTGTGAATGCTGCAAGTCAGTGTCTTGATGCGATCTCTGTTGTTTCAGAGGAAGACATTTTTACAAGTTTGAATAGAAAACTGAACTTGAGTGCATTGTTTGATAACTGGGATCAAATTGGAATATGAAAGATTTAAATTGACTTTGAATCTTTCTGTATGATCAATTGAATGGACTTTCTACTATGTTTCTAAAAATATCAGTTTTATGCTATTAAATGTTTTACAAATTGTTGACAGTAACTGTAAATTGAAATTTAACAGAAGAATATGGTAAAGATTGTAACCAAAAAGGCAAACAATGGTTTTCAGACAATGTTCGTCTCCTCAGTTATTATCCGTTTCACCTTGTATTTAAAGTTTGATGAAAACAGCTGAGATAAACAAAAGCAGATTCAGGAAGTAAACATAAAAACATCTTCTTTGTTGTGTTTTTAAGAGCAGAGTGAGAAAGTGCAAAAAACCTACATGTCATTGTTTTTCAGACTTTCAGTTTACTTTTCAGAACGAGTTTAATTTCACCAGCCACTCTCAGGCTTAATTACTGCCACATCTGTATATTCAAGAAATCACTTCAATAAGGTTTTCTTGCTCAAAAACCACTGAATTTGACTTACGTAAAAACATTTACGCACAGAAAAGTGTGACAAAATTCCTCCACAATGAAGAAAGCTTATTGCCAGTGTTTGCAAATACTTGTTGGCAGTTGCTTCCAAAAGGTGGCACAACGTTTTATTAGCTTCAAAGAGCAATTACGTTTCCACATATGGACACATGTTGTTATTGATAACTTTTCCTAAACAATATTTCCGTGTCATATTCCTTCCATTTCTTTATGGTGCATTTAGCTGATCTTCAGGGGGCGTTCAGAACCTCAGACATTTTCTTTGTATCCATTTTTTTTACATACTTTTCAAAAATATTTTCTCTGATTTGCTTTGCTTGAAGTGTTTTCTTTGTCTCTGCTGTGATGGCAGCCAGGAATGCTGATTAGCCAGTGGGTGGACCTTTCAGATACAGGTGTCTTTATACTGCAATCAGTTGAGACACACCCACTGCACTCAGATGATTTCCATTCCCCTCATTGTGACACTATTAGCACCAATTTGCAGAATCTGTGTTTAACTGGATCCCGATTGTCATTATTTTTGTAAAAACAATAGCAAAAAATATAAAAAATAAAGTTTTGTCAAAAATTTGTTGATCATGAGTGATTGGGAAAAGCAATAAAAGGTGTAAAACATCCAAGGGAATTAATACTTTTATATGAAGTCATGAGTTTTTTTAATAACTGAAAACAGCAGCTCTTAATCTTAGTAAAGTTGCCTTGAAGTTCAAGGCAATAAAGATTTAATATTTTGGACTTTTTGTAAATCTATTAGTGGTTTTGGTGAATTTTCCAGGTTTTATTTTCCGGTGGGGCCTTTCTGGGTGGATATGCATATTCTCTCCATACAGGCACAAATTTCCTGCGGACACACCAGTTTTCTGCCATAGTCCACAAGATAAGGCATGTTAGATTCACTGGCCTTTCTAAATGGCCCTTAAGGGGAAGTGCATGCTGGTTTGTCCCAGTGTTGGCCCTGCCAGCATCTTGGCTGATTGTAATAAAACCTTCAGTCTCTTAATAACCCTAAACCTGCTTAAAAAGGTAAATAACATCATTCAAGACCCCTGGATAATTATTTAACTAATCTGTTGCAAATAGACTGATATAAACTAGGAATACAAACCAGATATCTTGTGAACAAAAAGGAGGAGGACATTGCACCAGACAGGAGAGTCTAATTAGATGTTTGAGTATTTTCAGCATGTCGAAGATCCAATTTAAAAACTTGGACATAATACTAAAAATTACTACAGAAACTGACTGCCTCAGAAGACTCTTCTCCTAGAGGCAAAAACTCTAACTTGATGCTTCTTTTATATCACCAGTCAATTTTTTTTTTCACCAAGGACAATAACTGCAGTCACACAATTTCTGTTTCCAGTAATTATGGTGGAAAATTCAGAGATGACAAAAGGAAAACTACACAAAAACGACTGAGAATGCTGTAAGTGTGGCATTTTATAAAACATTAAAGACAAAAACATGCTCAACAATTAACTGAATTATCTTCACACAAATGTCTGACATCAATGATAGCGTTGTAGATATATTTCTAAATTTGGACAGGAAATTACTTGTGAGTAAAATTAAACAACTCTTGTAGTTTTTGTTTTGATTGTTTGTTTTTTTCACCTCTCACTTAAAAAAATTTTTGTTCTCCAGTCCAATTCATCTGGGAAGCTGGATGAGATTCAGGAGGTTTGATAATAAAAATCATTCATACAACAAAAATCTTTCTCAAAATAATTCACATCTCTCAAAGTGTGTGTGAACTCCCAGTTTGCTGCTGTTATATTTTGTTGCATAAAAGCCACCTGAACTTTCCAACCTGAGACAAAACAGGAGTTCGTGCCAATCTTATTCTTACTGAAATAGTTCAAAAGTCATCATAAGGATCAATACTGAATATGTGTTTTATGGTAACTATCATTAGCTATGGTAGGGAGTTTTATAAGGAGTTTTATTTTTGATAGGTTGAACTATTGTAGGTATCACAGAGGAAGACTTCTTGGTGTCTAACACCAAACTCCCTTTAACTCTCCGTCTGTTTCTGATTGGTTGAGCTGCTTTGTTGATCCGGTCCAGGTTGAGTTGTAAGTGAAAGAGCAGGAGGGAGAGAAGCCGTTCTAAAGTGGCATTTGTTTTACGAAAAGAGATTTGCATCATATGCTCCATGTTTGATTATGAGTGAAGCTCTGCAGGAGTTTGTTTCTCACATCTCAAAAATGTACTAAGGCCTTTGGCAACTTTTTGAGCGCTGTTACGGTCCGCGCAGGACACACAACTTAAGGAGTCCAGACCAAATTACATAAAACAAAAGGTTTTATTCAATCCGAGGCTAGACATAGAGGTACTGGGGAATCGTGGCAAAATAAACAAAAGTGTGGGAGCATTCACGAACCAGCCAGCAGTTGACAAGCGCATCCAGCGCATTCACTGGAGAATACAAGTATCCAAACTGTTAGGATTTTAGGTTGTTTTAGAGTTTCATTTGATTCCAGATTCATATGTATTCTGTGTTAGCTATTTATTTGGACTAGATCGGTCTTGTTCCTGTTTTTCTTTAGTTCAGTCCTGACTTAGTGACTCTAGTTTATTATATTTATTTCTTGTGTCTAGTTATTCTTAGTTACTCAAGTTTATGTTTAGTTTTGCTTTACTGTTAGATTCACTTCCCAGTCCTCATATGGACTCTCCCTCACCCTCTGTGTCACTTTCTCTCTTTCTCTTCCTCTTTCCTCAGTCTGCCTTCTGCTCTCACTTCTCGGCTCACTTCCTGCTGGTTCTTTTCATTATATCCCGATTTTTTTTTTCCTGTTGGTTCCTTTCCCTTCTTTTCCCTAGAATTTAAAGTTTTTGTTCTTCTCCGACTTCCTTGGTTTTCCTGTGATTTTGTAAGTATTTTGCTCCTCGTTTTTTCATTAACTCACCAAAATCTACTCAACGTCTCTGCCTGCTGCATTTGGGTCCATCAACACAACCAACACAAGTTTCTGTTTTGTACTGCTGGTTGAATAAACTTCCTAGATAGGCCACAATTTGCCAGTCTCTTCTAGCAGAGTCAAAAATGGAGGTAAACTTTGTATTTTGCATCAGTTGTTCAACAGCATCAAGGATAACATGGTCCTGTGCTTTCCACGTCTTGTGGCTGTTTGAAAATGATCCCGGTGGAATAATGATCGCCTAATACGCCTAATCAGCTGAAAAGCAGATTAATATGACACAAGACTGATTAGCTTGATAACTTCTGCCACTCTGAGAATTTATTTACTTTGTCAAAAAGCTCACTGTGATATGAGCTTTTTTTCTACTAGAGGTAAGTATGTAATTACTGATAATAACATCACAGAACCTCATTTCACAAAATCTGAGTTTAATGATGCTGATGTGTTGTTATAACAAAATCAGACTTCCACATTTCCAGTTTAGAACATCCCCAAGAATCCTGACTACCTTCATATTGAATTCATGGCAAATATTTTCAAAACAACACAAACGTTTTAGATTAACAGCAGACATTATCTGCAAAAGGATAAAGGTGCCTGGTAACTATAAGGATAATAACCTGGAAATAGTTTTTGATGACTGAATAATAGATTGTCAAATTTATTACAGCTGGTGGGAATGCCTGCTGAAGCACATGTATATATGGTTACTTTATTAATTGTGTGAAAATTCAGTAGATGATGGCTGCAGTGCTGCATAAAGATGGCTGGAAATCTCCCCTGTCTAATTAATACTTTGCTAACTGACTTGTCATTAAGTCTTTAATTTACCATCTGAGATTTTTAAAAACTGGAGTTTATGTGTTGGATAATTCAGGCTCCTGAACTGACATTAAATTATTGGAAGATGAAAACTTGTCACTTAGTGAGTACAAGTTAAACAAAAATATTACAGTTTTTATTTTTATACATGCAAAAATCTCAATCCACAAAGATTGATGATTACAGAAGATTTTTTGCTGTCATAAGGAGAAAGTTAGATTTTTTGTTGTTTTAGTTGAAATGTGAAAACACTAAAGTATATTTCTGAATCCCAGATAACTCAGTGTTGGAGTGAGGTAAAATGCATACAAACTGTGGGGTATTTTTTTGTTTTTTTTAGGTTGTGAAAAGTTAAGGACATGATTGCAACATGAATGCAGACCAGGTCATGCTGTAAAACTCAAATCCATGTCATCTTCAGCTCATATATTTACAGTTTTTGTTGTATTTTTTTTTTCTTCTTTTACAAAATACTTGGTTCTGTCATTATAAAGCAAATATACTCCGGAGTTTCACAAAAACATTAAACTAATTTCTCTTGACTTTCTAACTAGATGTGTTTTTACAGTATTTCATACTAAATAATGTATTTACTTTACCAGTTGAATTGTGAAAAACAAAAATGAAAAAATGAAGGTTTTAGGTTTAGGTTGCTATGTATAGTTACTATCTCTGCTTTTCTGTAAGTTTTGCCTCATTTGTGGGACACTACAGGGCCTTATTTTGTTTAAAGTTTCATAAATAATAACAATTTTACCAAATAAGTGAGTAGTTAGTTACTTTTCCAATCTGTTACTGTTAGATTGTTACCATATTTATCTGTTTCTTTTGTTGTCACTAAACAAAACAAACAAACAAAGAAACCCCTGATGTATTCATGCTGTTTGTTTCTCTCCTACTTCTTGGAAGGTAGCTGAGTGCTAGTGGAAGGTATCCAATCCCACGGCTCTGTCAGTGCATATGTGTGGCTGCGCTCGCGAGATGGTGAACAGAACAGCCTTTACTCTGTGAAAGTAAATGCATTATTCTGAATCCATGGGTAATACAGACAAAAATGGCATCTTAACAGACATGCAGCTCGGTGGAAAGAGTTTAAATATGAAGAAGCACTTTAAGACAATGGTTGCCAGTTCAAACGGAGATGTCAGCGCTACAGCTGGCGTCTCCAAAACAATGGACACCCTTTAGTTCAGCTAAAGCTGTCAGTCCGGGGGAGATTGTGGAGTTTGTTTCCGGACACATGGTGGAGGAAATGCTACATCTGAAAGGAGGAATGCATCATGTCATGGCTCTAAAATAAATAAACCCTCTCACTACTTATCACTGACAAATGAACGTTAACTGCTGATCATTCAAAAGACTTAAATCTGTTTTTCTCAGTATTCCATACATAGTTTTCTATGCAAGTTGTTGTTTAGAGTTGTAAATAGGCTGTTAGAATGAGAGCTTTTCAGGATGTGCTGCAAAGGAAAAAGAAGACTGACAGTCCTGTACTGACTGCTGTTGGTCTGTAATGCTTAGAAATATGTTGACATTTCTGAAATAAACTTTCCCGTCTGCAAATAGACTTTATAAATAATTTTCCAGTTGCACAAAAAAAGTGCTTTAAGAAAAAAAAAAAATGTGTCTACATTTTCTGGGATCATCTTTAAACTCTTCAAAAGACTAATTGATTCCTTTAAACTTCAAATATTTAATATTTTCATTACGTAATCACGACCACAGCCCCTTTTCAGAAGAACATTCGCTCTTTCATCTGCTTTTTAAGAATTACATTTAAAACCAAATGAGAAAAAGTGTTTAGTGATTATGCTTCAAAGCTGGACCTGCCAAAAGCGCAGGACAGTGAAAATAGTTTAATTTTAGCAATGAGTTCACTTAAAAGAACCACGTCTTTCAAATGTGATACACAGATTTGAGCACAGGACCAAGGAAATTGGAGGAAATTAACAAACATGCAACTCTTCACAGCAGATGCTCGGGGTTCTTTGCAATGAAACTACACAAGTTAAATTTGCAATGTTGTTATCCTGTAATTTGCAAAATGACAAAATGCTAGTCTGATGCACTAAGCACCTTCAATTGCAGCTCATTAACTCAGTCAGGGGGAACCATTTTACAGGCATGGAGAAAAACTATTAGAATACTTCTATTAAATGGAAGAATAAATATCCGGTTGAAGCACAATGTGTCTTCATTTTGGCCCAAATGTGATATATGCCGTTGCCATGGTAATGTGGCGATTGCTACAGCCCTCCTCCCAGCTGTTGGTGGGTTTTGTGTGCAGGAGGGCGAGGGTAAAAAGAAAGAGGGAGACTGTGTGTTTGTGTGCGTGCACACATGCATTGATGCCGCCTCCGTGCTGTGTTCCCCTTTCAGCCCTCAGAATAGTGTCTCTACTAATCCGTGAAAGTTGCGGCGCTCTGAACTAGTGGCCAAGGCTTTTCCCACTGAACCAAGGCCCAGGGTCCGCGCTCGACTTCACACTTGATTGGTCCCTCCTGCGGCAGACCTCTCCTCCCCACTAGGCGTGGGCCAGTCCCCCTCGCCGGTCTCCCCCGGCACTGCCGAGTCGCCTCTCCCCACCTTAATTACCAGTGCTTGAGTCGCGGCCTCACCAACAAACCATTAAAGTCTGGCCAGCCTAACCTTACAAGCCCTCACACATCCAACGCTTAGCACCTTCACGGAGACAAGCTGAAGATCAGCCCCAACTCCACCAACCAAGCACCTGTTTGTGCCTGCGACGCCCCGCAGCACTCTGGACTCGCCTGCTGTTGGTGCAGGTGCTGTTGTCCTGCTCCTCCTGCAGTGGAGGTGATGTGTTTATTTGACCTGCATTGAGAAGATGAGACGGGCCTATCTCCTTGTTCTGTTCTATGAAAAGAACTCAGAGTTCTTTGATAAATGACCCCTTCAAACCCACACTGAGCTCTGGGAAAAACCTGAGTTGATGTGTAAACCACTCGGAACTGACCCTGCACTTCCTGTTTCAAACTTTGTACATGTTTTCAGAAAGTGACATGAATGTGGAGCTGTGATCCTATTCCACAGTGTAAATTTAGAACTAGAATAAGCCAATTTTCTATTTTGGTGTGCCTACTAAGTTTAAGACTGCTGCAGAAATAGTCAGACCATATGGGAGTGAGCAGGTGAAATGCAATGACCTGGCAAATGGTCCAGAAACTGATGAGAGTCGAGTACACGTCAGAAGGCACTGGGTGTGCTGGCACAAACTTTACCCAGGATGTGGATCAGACAAACACCCAGCACTCGTTAGTTTATTGCTCTCTTATTAGGAACATTTTTTGCCTTGCACGGATTGGCAGAGTCCCGCTAGCCACCCTCTTCACATGGCCCAGGCTCTGTCAGGACTGATCAAAAGACGTTTCTTCACATCTCCAGACGCCAGGGAAAAAAGGAGAAGAAAAGAGGGAGAGAAGAAAAGAGCCAGAAGGGGGCATACTGCTCTCTCTTTACTCTGGTGTTTTGGTGAATGAGGACTTTTCACAATACCCTCTCCTTTCTCTTTTTTTTCTTTTTTCATTCTTTCACTGGCAAAAAAAGAGAGAAAGAAATAGCATTTCCCAACGCGTTTGCGCCAAATTGTTCTTGCCATATCAAAAACAATTATCCTCAGGTTAAGAATGTGCCTGCAGAATTACAACCGATCCAGGGGGAGAAAGCAGTCTTCACAAATTTGACTGGCTTCCAGGCAGCCAAGACCCCCTCGAAGTGGTAATGAAAAGTGTAACTTTAGCCTCCCAGCTGTACGTCTCAATCCATAATCCTTCCCCAAAAACCTCACCGTAGAGCCGCCTACCACTCCCATGGCGTTCCCAGCCTTTGCCGGGCTGGGCCTGCACTGATTTATGTGGCAGTCCTGAGTCATACTCTCAACCTGAAAAGGATTTGCTCTCCTATATTTACAGGGGTAGTCAGGCCGGCTCTCTTGAAATACAGAAAGCCCTGTCTCCGGGCCTCAGTCCCCACGGTTTTTTCCCCTTCTCTGCCTCAGTAACAAGGACATCTGGGACCTTACAAGAATCAGCCGAGTCTCCAGTGTTTTTATGATGGAGTCTTTCTCCAGAGGAGAGGTGAGTTTCTCTGTGTGTATTGCCTTAATTTGTGCCAGAGGTATCTGCAATAGATTACAGTAGCAGGGTCAGGCCTAAGCTCAGCACTATCCGGTCATTTGGCCTGCAACTTAACAACAGACCCAGAAACCTGAAAAAAACAAGCGGAGCATGTTCTAGTCGTAAAACTGTGTTTATTGATATTTACTTGCTCATCGCCAATTAGTTATAAATATGTTTTTTTTTTTTTTTTTAAACAAGTACAATACAATTTTGGTAAACCAGTTGTTCTGTGAAACAGATAATTGAAGTAATTTCTAGTCAATAATTCTAAAAAATTCAGAAGAAGCATGCAAATCTGATAACATGAGATTAAGGATTTTCAGACTTTTTACAAACGTAAGCAGATATCTCTGACTTTTTTTTTTTTTTTTCAAAAAAAGGCACAGCTAGCACTACTTACCCTTAAAGCTTGACTAAAGTTCTGGTTAAACTGGAGTGTTGACATGTTGGTAGCGCTATGATTGTAGATGGTGGTGGTCCACTCTGCCGCCGCGGATCCATCCCTGTAGAACAAACAAGCCAAGGTGACCTCTAGACTCCTGGGTTTGTACATCCTGTGGTCAGCTGTCTACGTAGTGTGATGGAGAGCACAGCGGGTGGTTGAAGCAGCCTCTAAGAAAGGGATAACTTCATCTCATTTATATATATCAGTGCACACGTGTGTGCGCATGCAGGATGTGAATGCACATGAATGTATTGTATGTGTGTGCCTTTGTGTGACAGCCAGGTGGTTAATGCTAAGCACCATTTGGCACCTTCTGTGCAGGAAAATGAAAGCATCAATGCTTTCGACATGCACAGCGCATGCCTGAAATGATCCACGTTTTTGCACCTGATATGTTGTTTAAAGGCCCAAATTAAGAGCTTTTGCCCCGGCAAAATTTCAGATGAAATTGCTCCTACCATCTCCTGACAAGAATCTCAAAGAAATGCGTCATGGCCTGAGAACGACGTCTCAGGCAATGTAAACGCAGACAAAATGGCTGCTGTTGCTAAGCTAACACAGGGGAAGGAAGATGGAGCTGATGCTCACGCTGCTGCACAAAAACATCAAACGAGAGGTTAACTCTTTATGACTTTCGAGCAAGAAGCATGCCGAGGTGTTAAATTTTGCCCATTTTGTCCAGTTTGTGTTGGCAGCTAACTGTTACTGTCGTCTACAGTATTCCACGTGTGCGGTAACGTGACTGACCCATAGAGCCTTGCAAGTCAAGGCTACGCCAGAACTCTGCGCTCACGTAATTTAGCTTTCCCAGCATGACGTAGTTTACAAATTTGCACAATGTAGGGAACAATAGAGTAAATAAAATAACGGCACACTCTTCAAATGACTTTAGTTTTCGGAAAAGAGTGACTACATAAATATTTTCCGCTCAGATTCTAAGTTTTGAGACGAGCAAATGTGACAGCCTCATACGTAAGTCTGTTTGAGTCTTTTCAGTTAAAAGCCTTCCAAGTTCGACACGAGGAAGCCTTTGGAATTTCTTTTTTATCCTTCGTTTCTTTCAGTGCAATGGACTAACTTTGGAAAATCATGTAAGAGATAGTTTTCTTTGAGATTCAAAGGGTAAGATTGGTAAGTTTTTTTTTTTCTTCCCCCAGCAAAGTTTCCCCGCTGATCAGTTTTTTTAAGTTGCGTTGAAGTGAATACATTCCGGATGTTTTACAGTAATAACGTAGTTGAGAATGTAAAAACGCAAAAAAAAAAAAAAAGAAAAAGATGGAATAATGTGCATCAAAATGTAGTGTTATTTTATCTTTTTTGAATAAAACAGAATAATTTTACTTTTTAAATACCCGCCTTTTTTACGTAAATGTTCAAATCCAATTTTCCATTAAACATTTTATTAAATACTAAATTTGCTTAAATAAAACAACTGATCTGAACTCTATTTTCATCAAAAAGAAAATATTTATTGTTAAGACTTTGACCACAGTTGACCTACTGATGTAAATACAATTCAAAAGATTGTTAAGGAATAAAACATTTGTGTTGTCGGGATATCTAACAGTCCTGATGAGTAGGAGGGACACTGCTGACAGTTCAATGTCCTCTCTACAGACAAACATACAAAAAACAGATGGCGGCCTTTCATTTCCGAAACTAAGAGAAGTTTCACACTTGGAGACTTGGAGTGTCTTAGAAACACATTTGATTTGAGTCAGAGGCTTTGATCAAAAACTGGGATTCTTATTTATCATTGCATATTATTTGATTAGGATGAGAGCTTTTTATTCCAGACAATGTCCCTTGAAGAAACAAAAAAAAAGGACTTGAAATAAGGGAATCTCGCCAATTAGATACAACCTTGAAAGAGCGCTCTGACGGATTTCCGTGTCTTTTGAAGCTGCACACGAAGTTCTGCAAATGTTAAAAACAATGGAAAAGAAATACAAAGAGACGCATTACCAGATGGCTTTTGCAACAAACAGCTAAACTAACAAAAAAGTACGAAGGAAGTAATTACTTTTTCATTGTTTTAGCTTATTCTGTTTGTCTGACATAAGCTAAAAACTTTAATAATTCTCAAACAAGTCGCTGTGCTGTGTTGAATTTTAGATCAGAAACATATTGTCCTTTTGCTATTCTTTTAATAAATCATATTCACTCGCTCAAGGATATTTTTAAAAGAATAATTTTTACGATAAAATTTAGACATCCTTCATTTTTATTTATTACAAAAATATAGCTTCTTACATGTTTTATAAAAAAGAACATAAAATATGTATTTTTTTCAATTGTTGCTTTACATTTATTCGTAGCCATTTTCAAAAGAAATGACATTTTATTTTTTTATTTTCAAATTGGCAAAAATACGGTTAAATTACAGTAATAACCACAAATTAATTATTTTTGCACTACTTTAATTTCACAGTAGTAATAATAAATACAAGCGACGCTGTACATTCTTTTTTTTTTAATAAGAGATGTTTTAAATTTATCGGCATTTTAAAAATCTACCGGAAGAATTTTTTTTTTCTTCCGATATAATCTTTATATATATTCGAAATTTAGATTTTCTAAAAACTCAATCAAAAAAACAATGCAAGAAAAAAAAAAAAAAAAAGCAATTATTAAATCCACGGCACCTTGATACGGTAAGCCGTTTAGTGGTTCGGGTTTTTAATTTGCCACGTTTTTCCCGATCGCAAACTTTTATTTTTTCGTATGCTACTTAATTTAGTTTTCTTTGAAAAAGTTATTTTATTGATTTTCTGAAGTAACAAACCTACATATACCTATGATGATGATGATGATGAAGATGAAAGTGATGGAAAGGACTGTGATCTCAGCACAGTGTCTCTTTAAGGACATGCATTAAAAAAAAAAAAAGTGAGGAACCCTCTTATATAACAGACCTCATTTTCCTTCTGTTGAGTTAAAGTTATTCACCTAAAAGTTCTGGTAACATATCTCTTTGTATGTACCTTAATTTAGCCCAGCCATAATTCTAGTGTACAAAAGACACATGTCAGAGTCACACTGCTGATGAGAAATAAATAGGAAAAGGGGTTCTGTGGATGTTCTTCAAAGGAGCTCCAATTTCACACCGTCAAATAAAAGCACCCTTATAGGCACATGAGTGATAATCCTGCTTTTTGGACTTAAAGCTTTTTCTTTGACATAGTTACATTTCAGTCATTCTGATATATTTATTAATATTATTTTGGGTGAAGATTTAAAGAATGTGGACGATGTGTTTTTGTGGCTCAAAGAGGATAGTTTCTTTTTCCCACATTCAGGTATATTTAGAGGACTTCTTGCATTATAGTAAATCTGATAATTTACTATGTGGCACATCTCAGCTTTCTGACCTTAACAGTGCTTTGCATACCTCTAGGTTGCTGCCATAGGCACAAGAGACAAACACATGATGTAGGACACATTTGCATGTTGCTGCATATGTCGACTGGAAAGCCTTTGATAGAAGTCTGAAGTCAAAATTGTGTAACTGATGGAGGAGAAAAAAAACTTTAGAAGATGCTGAGAGTATCCGAAACTTTCTCTTTCTTCTTGAATGATAAATCCATCTAGTTTTAAGCCTTTAGAATACAATTATATTACCAAGTAGTATTATTTCTTGTTTTAAATTTACTCAGTTACACTTGATGTTCTCATAATTAAGACTTGACCTGCATTATGTAACCAGGAAGTTGACTGCCAACATCCTGCAGCTTGTTTTCTGTGACATCTCATTGATGCGTCTGTATTAGTTTCCACGCACTCCTGACATGCACTCTGTAGTAGCAGAAGTGACAGCCCTTATCCGTCCTTTGTGCCCCCCTTCATACTGAGACTCGGATTTTAGGGACGGACAGCTCAGGACAGGACAACTGCATCAATGCTGACTGAGCCTGAGCTACGTTTGCAGCAGAAGGCCACACTCTGCTGAAACTTTCTTGGACTCGACAGTTTGTGCTTGAGAGAAACAGCTGATCCTTCTTATGCTACACAACTCTAGTTTTTGGCTTAGCAAAAGTGAGCAGAGTTACCTGTGGAGTGTGTAAAGTCTCGACCAGATTACAACGTTCAGAGTCCATGAACCAAAATCCCTATTTAGCGTTTTAAACGTTCCTAAATGTGGCAGATATGCAACAAAATCACCGCAGTTTCAAAGTATTTGGTTAAATAATGAAAGAACATGATAATAAAAAATTCACACATTGTAAATAAGATGCTATTACCGTCAAAATATGTAGGCCAGATTCTTTACAGCAAACAGAGAAGTTTCCTCCCAGGCAGCACCAGGAGGTGCTGTAAAGCAGTTAGCCTTTGATAGTACAGCAGCAGCAAAAACAAACATGGCTGACGATGGGGCTGCGGCCGACGGTGGAGCAGGCTGGTTCAGAGAGTCGATGTGAGATTAAGACTTGAATTTTTTGAGCCCGGAGCGTCAATATCAAACAAGATCCCCCTCCATGCCCAGTTACCTGGGGCTCGGAAAGGAAATGCACCCTGCCATGGTCTCGGCTCCCAGATTCTAAGGCTCGTTGAAAAAAGTAGAGCGCCGATGTTAGCATGGTGGCTATGAAGCGTTGAGCAATGCGTAGCACCCTGCAATGCGACATGCTGTAATCAATGCGAAGGTGGGACTTTTCTAAGTAGGCAATCTGAAAATGACTAGGCACCTATGTTGTTTGTCTGTATTTTTGCAAATTATAATTTTATGTGAAAAATGCCCACTTTAGTTAATTCTGTTTTTGCTTGAAAGGAGAAAAAAAAAAGTGCAGCACTATCTCTTCAGGCAGGCAGCTCAAAGAAGTTTCAAACCATTTCATTGCATCCATCTGCTCAACTAATTGCTACAAACTTTGGCTTTTAGGTGACAGCATGTGAAAAGAATGGGTTTTGTTCTGAAATAGCGAATTGATTGAGGCAGGAAACGGTCCCTTGAGTCTCAGATTAGGTTGTGCAGAAAGTGTTAAACTAAAAGACAAAGTGAGGCGACCTGGTCCTCCTTCGTCCTCATCTGAAGTGCTAAACCTCACCCTGACTTTGTAACGCCTTGGCTTGTGAGTCACAACTGTGAAGATATAATGTTATTTAAACCCAATCTGTCACCAAATGGAGCGAAAGAAAAAAAATGCTTGCCAAGTGCACAAATCTAACATTACCACTTATGAGACACACACTCCCACGCAGACGGACACGCACACAATTCCCTATCTGTCATTACACGGGCGAAATCAGCAATTAATCATAAAAAAAGTGAATTTATGGAGTTGTCATTATCGCGATCACTTCCACAGGTCAGGTTAGGGATAATTGACAGAAGCATCAACACGTATTATGACACAATTATGTAAAATAATTAGTTTCAAATGGTAATAAAGAAAAATCTAAAAATATTTTGTTAATTTGATAACATACTGTAATGAATAATTTCCCGCTGATAGATATTATGCCATCCCTCTTGGGTCTTAGCTGTTGCCTCAGCGCGTGACCCATTTCGCCTTTTAAACGAACCAGAAAGATTGCTAATTTTGACAGCTCAATTCGCGGGTAACCAACCCTTAACAAGTCTGCCACCCTCTGCAGCAATATTGAAATTCCAAGTGACAGACAAGAAGCGACGGCGTGGCGGTGCCCTGATGGTGCCCAGGTGGTGCTTGTGGTTTCTGAAAAAGCATGCTGCCACATGTCCACGATGGACGGATGGCCACGATCCACAGAAAAGTTACTTTTGACATTTTTGACTACCATATTGGCAGTGGGACAATCACAGATTCCGTTTCCTTAAGTGAAACTAGCAAAGCGACAGAGTGGAAAAATATTCTCTGGTGAAATATCTGAAGTTCTCGAATAAACATGTTTATTACATGATTATGACTGATAATAATTAAAATTCACAGAAGTTTGAATTTATGTGGTAAAGGCACTTGAAAGTGCGACGTCTCTTTATCAACAAATGTGTCAAATAAAAAAAAAAAAATAAGAATTTGCTACAGCTGTCACTGATATTTAAGGCCAAACCATACAAATTTAAAGGGGCAAAAAAGTATATATATATATATATATATATATATATATA